AGAGGGGGAGAGGGAGAGCAGCAGAGGGGGAGAGGGAGGGCAGGAGGGATCCACTGAGCTCAGTCTTTTGTCCTCCCGAGGCCATCAGCTGATTGGATGGGGTCCACCCGCACTGGGTGAGGCTGATCTTCCTTAGTGATCTGAAAGCCTGTGCCTTCTGGACATATCTGCCCAGGCATAATGCTTTCTAGCTGTCTGAGTGTGAATGTCCCTTAGTCGAGTCAAGATGACACCTAACATTAACCCCGAAACCTGTGTCATATCGATTCAGCTGCACGATATCCTGTGAAGTGGTCAGTGCTATCCCACACAGATGCCAGGAACCGAGCCCCACGCTGCGTGCGCTACAGCTTGCATCTGAGTGTTCCCAAGAGCTCATGGGATGAAGGCTTGGTCCCCAGCGCAGCCGTGTCCAAAGGTGGGACACTGGCTGGTGATGGGGTCATGTGGGTTCTGACCTCTTGATAGATGAATCCCTTCATGGATCCATAGCCCAAGGGGCTACGGGGAGGTGGGAACTTTAAGGTGGGGCCCTGTTGGAGGAAGTAGAACAGTGATGTCCTCCTGAAGGGCCTATCTTGTCCTCAGCCTCTTCCTGCTCTCTCTTGGTTTCCTGGCTGCCAAGAGCTGAGCAGTTTCGGTGCACAATGTGATTCTTTGATGATGCTTTGCTTCTCCACTGGCCTAAAAGCAATTTTGAATCCAAAGGACCGTGGAGTGAAACCTCTGGAACCGTGAGCCAAAGTAAACCTGTCCTTTATGTCTATTTGTCTATTTTCTCAGCTGTTTTGTCACAGTGAGAAGGAGTTGACCAGCACAGAACGGTAGGCAGAAATGAAGACATGAAGTTCCGGAGCAGGCGTGTCTGTCTAACTCATACACACTTCGCTGTCTATTTTTTCTGTGCATTGGAGTGAAATGTTTTGCAGAAAAGTATGAACTTTTATTCTGCGAAGCAGGGAGTGAGGTTGGCAAACTAGGAAGATGCTTTTAATGCCGTCAACTCAGCTGTCCCCTTGGCTTCTTAATGTAGGCTTGACAGGAACACCCCTGGGAGTCCAGAGGAAAGTTCTAGTCGGTTGAGTAACCCATTCTTCCTTTTCCGTCCAGCCCACTACATAAACTTGCTCTGTTTTTAACCTTTTAGGAAAAGTGATTGAGAAAAATCTGAGCCAAGCAAACAACACTGGTCTCTCCACCCTGGCTTTCTCCCTCTTCCCCTCACCAGTGCCTCGCAGGCTCTTGTCCCAAAGTTTCCTCCCGCTGGCTTCTCCTTGCCGCCCTGCGCCCATGGCCTTCCAGGGGGAAAATGCTTTTGTTTTGACTGGAGACGCACAAATTTGTGTGTCCATAGAAACCAGGGTTTCATGTTTTTCTCCCTCCGGCTTAGAACTGTGGTTTATTGTTAATCAGTTTCTTTTCTCCCCTCTCTTCAGGGTAGATTTATTAGCACAAATCTGTCATGCAAATGATGATTGACGAGGGCACCGTCGTTCCGAGAACACACATTGATTTGGGGAGCTCACATTCCTGCTGCAGAGATCTGTCATGGAGCCTCCGATGATCTGACTCGAGTTAGGCTGAGTTCTTCCCTGGCCACAGACCCCACCTTCTGAGACTTCCTGCTGCTGGGTTCCTTTGCCTGGGTTCTGTCTGCCAGTCCAGACTTTCGGTTCCATTGTTGCTAACAGCATCTTGATTTTTTCCACCGTCTGCTGAGCTCCGGGAAGCGCGAGGTTTGCCTTGGTAGCCAGCGTTGGCAGGAGATGCTCCCGGTCTTCTTCCACTTCCTGGTTCTGTTCTGATTCCCAGGAGAAATGAAGCCTGTCCAGATGACTCCGCATTGCTCACTGTGCACAAGCGAGGGAACGTGAAGGGACACAGGAGGGGAGGACCCTCCTCAGGGCCTTCCCCTGGTGACTGTGGCAGGTGCTACTTCCATTCCACCAAGTCCACAAGAAAGCCTTTTGCAAAAGGAACACAGTGAGGGAGTACGAGCCGTGCCTCCATCAACACGAGCCAGAAAGAAGAGCATCAAGCAGGAAGCAAACAGAATCTTGCAATTATATTTAATTGCAAAAGACACGGAGGCCTTGCACTTTAGAACATCGATAAAAGGAGCTTTGCTTTGTTTTCTGAGCTCAGCCAAGGTGATTAAGGATGGGAATATGATCAGTGGCATTGATCACTCTCTTCGTTCTCATAATGTCTCTCCCTGTTCCCTGATAATTTTACTTTCAAAGTGGGAAAAATGGAGTTATGTGACCCTCTGGGCCCAAGTCCGCCATCATATTGACAACCGCCATTAATCTTTCAGAGTCTCACCCCATTTTCTAAATCGCAGAGGCTCACCTGCAGTCACACAGCAATCAGTGGCCCAGTTAATTGTGATCAATATCTCCTAACGTGTCCCTCCCTCCCCTCCACCGTGGTGATTCTTATCTACTTGGAGAAACGGGCAGCTGTGGGCAGGGGCACTGCTTCAGAGGCCGTATAGGAAGATGCAAGGCAGGGGAGGTCTGCAGGGATTGGGACTTGAATCACATTGAAAGTTTTGGGTTTTCAAGTTTCAGGTTTGAATATTGGCATCCTCTCATTTTTTTTTTTTGAGTGTGTTTTTAGTGGTTTTCTGTTTATTCATTTTAAACACATTTTCTCACTTCTAAAGTAATACAATGCTCATTAATGAAAATTGTTAAAAATGTACCTCAAAGAAAGAGGGAAATGAGCTCGTACTCCCAGAGATCCAGTACTAACGTGCCCTTTGTTTTTCTAATTTTTCTCTAACCACAGCTAAACGTGTAGTTCGTCTTTGCATGTGCTGCTGCACCTTGGAGAACTCAGCACAGCACCACTTCGCCCTGCCTGGTGCCTTCTGGTGGAGCCTGAGTGGGCATGAGAAAGACAACAGCCCCTGTGACCCAGGCGAGTGTGCTGTGGCCTCAGTGCTCCACCACTTCAAAACCGCGAGTCTCCAGATGAGAAGCCGCACACTCCCTCTCTTGGGTTCAGTTGTCTCAACACAGAAAAATCTAAAGCAACAATGAAGAGTTGTTCTTGATATTTTTCAGATGAATATTCTGGATCTGATTCATGGGTCCAGAGGGGCCCTCTCCCTCTCCTTCCTCTTCCAGATCATGCACACGACCGAGGCTTGCCACTCCGCGTTCCGTCCCTTTTGGTCCTTGGGCTTTTGCACAGAGATTGGAGATAGTTCTGCAGGAGCTTTAACCAAGCTCCAGTCAAAACCAACCCGAGCGCTAGGTCTGGGACCCCCCAACGGGGCTCTGCCACCTCTCTCCCGAGCCGGGGGAGGGAGGGAGCTGTGAGTGGTGGAAGGCACCTTCTCCTCCCAGAGCTCCCTCCACCACTCCCTCCGTGTGCGTGGCCAAGACGTGGGAGGACGGTCCAGGAGGCCTTGGGGCCTGCGGGGTGGAGGAGTGAGTGCCACAGACAACTGGGCAACAGACCCGGAGGCTGGAGCTCGTCACGTAGATGAGGGCACAGGGGAAGAAAGGCTCAAACAGAGGGAGGATGGAGGGAAGAGTCCCAAGGCCCAGGGGCTGAGTCTGAGGGGTGCTGCAGATGCTGAGGGGCAGGAGGCGCTCAGGTGGGGAGGAAGGGTGCAAGCGAGACAGGCAAAAACATAAACAGTGGATAAGAACGTGCGAGAAAGGATCCAGGAGGGAGAGAAAAGCACAGAAGTGAAGCCTCTCGTACCCCCTTAGAGGGGACGGGGAAGAGGAGAACCAGAGGAGCGCCCCGAGAAATGCCCAAGGAGGAAGTTCTGGGGGCAGGGCCACCTACAGGTGCACAGGAGGCAGAGAAGCCAGGGTGTGGCACTGCCCGGGAGGAGTGGGGGTGGAGGAGCACAGAGAGAGGGCGGGGCTGCTGGGCTGTGCACCTGACCAGGTGGGACGGGGAAGGCAAGGACAAAGGGCCATGACACCAGGGCCTGCCGTGGGAAGAGGTGAGGTCAGTCTCCGCCAGCCTCCGTCCTCCTGGACAAGGGTTTTTGGGTAGCTCTGTTTTTCTTCTTGAGAACAATGATTTTTTTTTGTTGTTGTTGTTTTTCAGGAAAATTTTTTCTTTGGATGATATGTGAGTGAACCTGAGTGAGTAGATAGAGGAATGAAAAGAAGAGCGTTCTGTTTCTCTTCACCCTTTTTTGAATCAGAATGTCCCTCTGCATTTTCCCAGAATAGGACATCCAGATGCCTGTTCTCAAGAAAAAATCAGGGAGTGGACCAGAGGCCCCCGTTTTTTTCTGCACTTTCAGCACGGTTGAGCGACTCTTGCCTGCAGTTTTTAGATCAGAGAACCCAAATTTCTCTTTCCAGAATCACTATTCACTCAGAACAGTTATAGGAATAATGACAGCAACGGTGAAATGTACACCAGTGCAAATCTTCTCTCGCTATGGTAATGGCTTGGTGGATAATAAATGCTTTCTGCAATTATGTCAACTAGTGCAGAGCCTCCATCTTACCGCAGGCATTAGGCAGCTTCCCCAGCACCCAGCACGGGAGTGTCCAGTTACCTCCCAGAGCAGTCTCTGTAAACGGGGATCTCTTCACTTCTGAAAGCAGTGCAGGGCTGGAGTCGGGGCTCGGTGATAGAGCACCGCCTAGCATACAGAAGGCAGTGGGCTCAATCCTCAGCCCCACATAAAAAGTAAATTAAAAAAAAATAAGATTGTTTAGAAAAAAAGCAGTGCCATCCATTATTGGATAAATCTATCGGATGATCTTTTTCAGTCTTTTTAGAAATTATTATGTAACAATTATGCAAATTTATGGGGTTTATTGTGATAATGCATGTGTATGATGTGTAATGATCAAACTGAGGTAATTATCTCCTTAAACATGCATCATTTCTTTGAGTTGGGACCTGCAAACTCCCCTCTTCTAGCCTTTTTTTCCTTGACAGTTTTTACATCAAGGTAACATATGCCTCCCTTTGTCTAATTTTTGAACATTGATCTACTTTCCATGTCCCGGAAAGACCCCAAACACATTGATATTCCTTTCTCTTGGGGGTGATAACTTCGACTACTAGTTCAGAATCATTATGACACAGTAATAGCTACTTCTTGCTCTTTCTAATATATTCCACATAAATTGAGCAGCAGGATCTCTGGGTGTGGACGTTTCCCCAGGCCTGTGTGGAGGAGAGGTGGGCCTGCCTTCCATCTGGCAGGGTACTTCCATCGCTGGGTTTCCTTTGGGAATATTTTCTCTCACACATTTTCTCTTGCTTACTCTTTTCCCTGCAACTCCAAGAGCACCACAAGGAGGTTTTTGCCAGATTCAAATGACATAATTTACTTTGTGTCTAGTAGGAGAGGTGGAACCTGAGCCAGGGCTCCAGACTGCACATGCCACAGTTGTCCCCAAGCCTTCTGCGGTCACCAGGTGCCACCTGGACTGCACTGGGAAAGAAATTCCTGACATCTGCTGGGCTTCAGGAAATCTCACAAAAGTTTGTGGCGTGCTTGCAGTGTCTCAGGACCACAGAAGTTCAAAAGAAAGCGAGTCTAAGTCTCCAAGTCGCCTCGTAGGGCTCTTGTTAGCCTCATCTTGTGTCTTAGGGGGACCGAGACTCAGAGGTGCAAGGTTCTTGGAGAACAGGGATCCAGTCTTAGGTGTTCAGTCCTCTTGCTGCTCCATGACACCTCTGTCCTTGTTGCACCCGTGGTGAGCAAGACTCAGGCAGGACAGTGTGGGAGTGCAGAACACGGCATAGTCACATTTAGGACATCCATTCTTAAGAGACATGAGCACACAGTAGGTGTCTAACAGTGGTTATTTGTAGCATTGCACACAGATACAAATTTGAAGATCAGAGTCATATTTAAGACCTATTTTGACAGCAGGGCAGCAATTTAGCCTCTCCTTGGATCCAAAAAGTATGTTTTCAAATAAAATGAATATTGGAAAAGGAAATCAAAATGTTTAAATGTTGTGCAAATGTAAGAAAATTGGTTTTACCTTTTCAGTATTGATTATTTCCCAAGGGATGCTAATTATTGTTCTTTTTCTTTTTTCTTTCTTTCTTTTCTTTTTTTCTTTTTTTTTACACCAAGAATTTAACTCAGGGGTACTTAGCCACTGAGCCACATCAACAGTCATTTTTTGGTTTTTATTTTGAGACAGGATCTTGCTGAGTTGCCAGAGCCTTGTTAAGTTACTGAGACTGGATTTGAACTTGAGATCCTCTTGCCTCAGCCTCCCGAGTTGCTGGAATTAGTGGTGTGCACCATCACATCCAGCCGCTGATTGTTGTTATCATATAGAAATTACTAATTTTAATGTCTTCAGTACATGATAGGTGCTTATTAACTATTTCCTCAATTAATAAGTACTGAATCTTTCTAATAAACTGAATCTTGATCTAGAAATCTAGTTGCAGAATAAAGTCTCTTAGTGAATAACAGCGTTGCTCCCTGCTAAGAATCTGCATTTGAAAAGTCCATGAAATCTCCTGGGATGCCTGTGGTTCACCTGCGTGGTGACACCCTAGCCCTAGCGTGCTGCGGCCCTAGTGCATCCTCAGCACTGTGGAAAATGCTGCATGGAAGGTGGTTAAGCAGAAATGAAGGGAGGATGACAGAGACTACCTGAGGACTGACAGCTCTTAATCTTAAAAATAGAGAGTTTAGACAGTTGTGTGGAATGTCAAAACCGATTCTACCTGGTGGTGATGTAAAGCAGCTTGCCATAAGCACTGCTTGAAGTAGCAGAAAGCCTTCTTCTTTTTCTTTTTGGTTGTAGCTCTTTTCTTTAAAAAAAAAATACAGCTCTTAAAAAATTAGTGCATTAGTTGTACATATACTAGTGGGGTTTATTCTCACATATTCATGAACACATAGAACAGTTTTCTGCCTTTCAGTCCCCGATACCTGCTTTCCCTCCCCTCTTCCGTGATCCCCTTCCTTTACTGATCTTTCTTCTATTTATTTACTTTCAGTTGGTACATTATCGTCCTATATAAAAGTGGATGCGCTTGCCCTATTCATGCATGTACATGTAGATGATTTGATCAACCTCATCCCCCCCCCTTCTTCCCTTTCTCTCCCCCACGCTCCCCTGAGTCACTGGCCTTTACTCTAGTGATCTCTCTTCTATTTTTGATGGATTCCCTTTTCTTCATTTTTTTTCCTTCCAGCTACTGCATATGAGAAAGACATTCAACCCTTGACTTTCTGAGTCTGTTTTTTTTTTTTTTCCACATAGCATGATGTTCTCAAGTTCCATGATTTACCACCAAATGACACAATTTCGTTCTTTTTTATGGCTAAGTAGAACTCCATTGTGTATGTATACCACATTTTCTTATCCATTCATCGATTGATGAGCATCTAGTTTAATTAGTTCCACAGCTTGGTTATTGTGAATTGAGCAACACTGGTGTGAGTGCATCAGTGTAGTGTGCTGATTTTAGTTCTTTTGGATAGATAAAAGGGGATGGGATAACTGGGGCTCATGATGGCTGCATCCCTAGTCTCTTGTGGAATCTCCATACTCTTTCCAAACTGGTGGTACTTATTCATGGTCCAACTAACAATGTGTATATTTCCCCTGACTTCTCCCCAGCAATTGTTATTTGCATCTCTGTTCTTAGGGATTCACACTCTAACTAGGGCGAGATGAAATCTCAGTATGGTTTTGATTTGTAACTCCCTGATTGCTCAAGATATTGAACATTTTTTCATATGTCTTTTGGCCATTTGTATTTCTTTCTTTTGAGAAATATCTCTTTAGATCTTCTGCCCATTTATTGATTGGGTCATTAATATATTCAGTGTTAGATTTTTTGGGTTCTTTCTATATTCTGAATGTTAATCTCCTCTCAGAGTAGCAACTGGAAAAGGTTTTTTTCCCATTTTGTGGTCTCTCTTCATGTTGGCTCTCCTCTTCGGAAGCCATACTGTTTCTCTGTTTTAATTCTTGAGCGTTGGGGGTTTTATTAAGGAAGTCTGTTCCTGGGCCATGTTGGACTGTGGTCCCTAGGATTCCTTCTAGCAACTTCACCGTTTCTGGTCTAATTTCTAGGTTTTTGATCCACATTTAATTGACTTTTGAGAGAGGGAGGGAGGGAGGGAGGGAGGGAGAGAGAGAGAGAGAGAGAGAGAGAGAGAGAGAGAGAGACCCCTAGTCCATTCCTCTACATATGGATATTTAGTTTTCAAGCACCAGTTGTTAAAAAGGTTACCTTTTGTCTAACATATGTTCTTGGTGCCTTTGTCAAAGATGAGATGACTGTTACTAAGTGGTTTGCCCTGAGTCTTCTTGCCCACGCCATGGGCCTTCATGTCTGTTCTATGCTGAGACCATTCTGGTTTTGTGGCTATTGCTCTGTGTACACTTTGACATCAGCGACCTGGTGCCTCCAGCTAGCTCTTGTTGCCCAGGGTGACTTTGACTATTCTGGGTCTTTTATTCTTCCATATACATTTTAGGACTGTTTTGCCTAGTTCTGTGAAGAATGCCACTGGTATTTTGATGAGAATTGCATTGAACCTGTAGATTTAGAAGAAGCCATTCCAAAAATTCTTTTTGAAGTCCATACCTGTCCTAACTAGTATAGAAATCGCATGTGTATGTGTGGGGGATGGATCCACGGCCACAGAGGAGGGGTGACCGGCTCACAGAGAGAGGCCATTCCTTTTCAGGTGTCACTGGTGAGACACGGGAGAGAAAGTGGAGATTGGGATAGCGTGCAGGGCAGGCACCCTGCAGCCACAGCTTCTAGGCACAGGGCACAAGGTCTTCTGTGAGCCCTTTGTCTTACCAAATGTGAGGTTTTGAGGGAGGGTGAGAACTTCACTCGGTGCCCTCGATGCGTCTTACCCTCATCCTGCCTGGGCCGAGTGGCTGACTGAGGTAATGGAGGCCAAGGTGGGAAGGCGGTCGGCCCTTTCCTGAAAGAGGGTACTTCCATAAAACCCCACATCCACGGAGGAGGTGTAGGGACCAGAGATGTGGGCTGACTGGATTAGCTTTTCCTTTCTGTGACCAAAATACCTGACAGACCAGCTCAGGCCCATGGTAGGCCACTCAACTGGACTCCAGGTGAGGCCCAGCGTCACGGAGGAGCTGTGCGGTGGGGAAGCGCTGCTTGCTTTATGGTGGCCAGGAAATAAAGATGGGGAGGGGCTCAGGAAGGACAGACCCTTCCATGGCACTGCCCCCTCCCCCCCGTGACTCAGCTTCTCCAGCCAGCCCCACCTGCCCAGAGTTACCACCTGTTAATCTGTTCAACTCGGATGGACTGATGAGGTCACAGCTCTCACAACTCTGTCATTTTACCTCTGAACATTCCTGCATTAATGGGAGCTTTTGGGGACACCTCATGTCCAAACCATAAAGGATAATGTCCCCTCCACCTGATGACCATGTGTGGAGCCCAGGACACTGAGCAGAGGTGGTCAGAAATCTGCATGTTTGCAATCTTCTAAAAATCTTAGATCCACATTTTTTTTTGCACTGTTGAGTTTATGGACATGCAGAATTTACCATAACAGCTTTGCAAACTTTCATTATATATGTAAATCAATAAATATCTAAAGAGACAATTTCATTTTCTTCCCTTAGACTTTATTACAGTTAATGGAAGAAATGATAATCTAAAATGATGTAGAGAGTTGTGAAGGGCTTTCTGTATGTGAAGACATACCT